ACCTGTTGCTGCTCTGCCCTGGGCTGAGGAAGGGGGTGGCTGGGGGCACAGAGGGGGAGGGGCTGGGAAGGGGGTGCTGGGGAGCGGGTCTCCCAGGCTCCGATGCCTGGCTCTGACGCTGCTGCCTGCCTCTCTCTTGCAGATCGCTTATATTTTGCTACTCTACGCAATAAACCCAAAAGCACCGTCAACACACACTATTTCTCTACAGATGAGGAGCTGGTCTACGAGAAGTAAGTGTTCATCCATCCTCCTTGGCTCCTGCCACCTGCTTCGCTCTTGTTTTTCTCTTGGGGTTTGAAGCCCTTCAGTGTGGAGCGTAATAAAACCCCCATCTAATCTAGGAGCTGTGATGTTTGCCTTCCCCTCAAAGTATTTGAACTGTAGTGGAGTTGGGGTGAAGGGATGCACCTGAGTTGTTTTATGAATGCATGATAGCTGTATTAATTCAGGTCTTAAAAGAGGGACCTTCACTTTTTTTCTTTCTTTTCAGCTTTCTTTGTGTTTATTCTCACCCCTGCCAGTCTCCTCTTGTAGGTAGGAAAGTACTGAGTGGTGATAACTTTTTTGCTACTTTTTTGATAATGAGAGTAAAGCTTCAATGTAGCTTTTGCAGGGGCAGCCACACTTTTCATTTTGCAGTGGAAGGAACGATTAAAAGTCATTTCCTGCTAGTTTTCTTTGGAGCTTTCCATCAGCCTTTTCTCTGGGACAGGCTACTCACAGAGGTTGTGTAATGTCCGTCCTTAGTGGTTTTTAAGATCCGGCTAGGCAAAGCCTTGGTTGGGATCATATATTTGGGGATGGCCCTGCTTTGAGCAGGTGCTTAGACTTTACTAAATGACCTCCTGAGGTCCCTTACAACTCTAATTTTCTAAGTTTCTGTAGATCAGTGCACGCTCTAGGGAAACTGATAAGACCCTTAGGGTCAGCAGTTGAAAGGGACTGTACACAAAGTGGTGTCAAGGACACAAAGTAAATAAACTGATAAATACAGCAATCGCTCTGAGAGTTTTTAAAGGAACAGATTCATATTTGTTGCTTCTGTTGGTGACAAAATGCTTTTAGATGGGAGTATGCATTTTCTCTTCTAAATTTATTGCAGTCTTCATTATTGTTAGTAAATCAAGAGCCCTGTGTTGTTACCCTGTTGTTCTATTTTGTATGATCTGAACTCGGAGAAAAGGGATTTAACTGCTTGTGACAATGTGAGGCTGTACCCCTATGACTAAAGGGTATAAAACCGTATTAAATACTTAGAGATTAGGGGGTAGATTAGGGGTCATAGAATGGATCGCTCGGTCCCTGCTATAGATATGCTTGGGCAGCATATAGGGGCCAAGGGTAGAGGCAAAAAGAAAAGGGATCTGAATTTTAGAGGATAATCTTAAACTTCATGTACTCACTGCTGCTTAACTTGGTTGTTTGGAGCATTAAATATGTAAGTCCCCTAAATGCTCAAATAAAATATTGGACCTGACTCATAACTAATTCTGACCCTAAATTGCTTTTGTATAAACCGTTTAGTTCAGCATGTTCAGTTAAAGATGAAATGCATATTATAAAGCTCTGCTGGGCGGTTGGTGAAGGGCTTGTTTACATAATTCGGTGGTTGTACTTACCTAGCTTGCTGCTTAGCTTATGTTCACAATCGATAAAACTGCTTTTGGTGGCTGACAGCCTGGTAAATCTGCATTGTCGGCTCAGATAAAAATAATTCTTGCTTGTGAAGAGGTTTTTACCTTTCTGGCTGCAGATGTAACTGCATGTCAGGAAGGGTCCACTGGACATCTTGCACTCAGCCAGATTCAGGTTGGCTGAGGTTTTGAAGGTTCTTGAGGAACTTCAGGCTACAGAGAGTTGTGTATGTCTACATTGCATCCAGCTGCTCGTGGGGCGGAGTGGTGGGGAGGTAAGGTTTCCTAGATGGCTCCCTTTCAAGCAAACCCTGCCTACTTGCTCCTGTTTTCACATGCCAGATGTCAGTTAATGTCTCAAGAGCTGGGGCTTTGGGCCTATTGATAGCTCTCTGCCTCTGGTGTGCCCCCCAGAGTTGCTTCCCTGCTGCTGTATTTTGGGGTTTGGCATGTGAGAGTGTGTGGGTAGCATGTGCTTGAGAGGGGTTCTCCCCAGAAGAATGCTGAGAACATAGTATAGACATGCCATTAGATAAACAACTAAACTAAACTTAAGAGCTCTGGATTTAATGTCCTCATGAAGTGGGGGCAAGGTACTGGCAAAGTTGAAGAAGCTTTTTTTGTTTTTTTTGTTTTTTAAGGCCCTGGCTTGACAGATCTTCTGGAATTAATCTTGCCAATTGTTATTCTGTCTAGGGGCTTGAGAAACCTGCTTGACCAGTGCCCGCAGTAGATGGGATCTATGGATTTCTTCTTGTGTTGGTCTGATCTTGGTGTAGGCCTCAATATGATGCAGAGACTGTACTGCTTGTTGCATTTGTTGCTTGCATGGATTAGGTGTACATGCTAATTATCTTAGTTCTTTCAGATGCCTTTGATATTGCTGCCTGAATAATGATGTGCCTGAAAATCATGACATTGCATGTGTGTGGTTGTGTTCTGCTTGGTGCTATGTTTGAGTGATCTCGCTTAAGTTCTCTTACTGTTTTAAAAACTGTAGTTTTGCTGGACAAGTAGTGTTGTGAGCTCTCATGCTAATAATATAGAGATCTTTTTATAACATGTATCACTGTATATATTTGGATTAGGACAAAGTACACAATCTTCAATAGGGACAAGGAAAAATATACTAATTCATCATTTCTGTAGGGTATCCCCAGTAGAGGATATTAGAAGGATGTGAGCGAGATCTGTGGATCCCTAGCTAAGAATATTTGGTAAAATAACACCTAAAGCACTCTTGACAACATATTAAAATAGCTTTGAAAAGTCTTTTTTTAATTATATAGCTGTGGACCATGAGCAAAGACCAATGAAGCATACTGAGTCACTGCAACATAATTTGGTTGAGCAGCCTATTGGACATCAGATATAGTTAGGGGTCTACTTAAGTTGAGGAGTCAGCTTGCCAATTTCACGGGGAGATTGTGGGGCTGGCTGCCATATTTACGGGCCGATTTATGGCAGGACCACGCCCCCCTCCCCCATAACTCTGGCTAAGGGGCCCCTCGCCACCAATTGGCTGGAAGGCTGTCCATTGTGTGGTTCTGCCCCTTGCCACCAATTGGTGAAGAGGGATGGGGCCACATGACAGGCAGCCCTCTCAACTAATTGGTGGTGAGGGGAATGGGTGGCAGCCATCTTGGGCTGCCCTTTGGGTAGGCAATCCTTCCTTCTTGGCCCACCCCCCTCCTGGTGGGTTGTGCAGCCAGGCCGTAGTGCTGTGAAGGCTGCTTGGCTCCCTTTTGAGGAACGAGCATTTTATTTTCAGTACGTGTTTTTGTAGATTTTTGTGGATTTTACAGACATTGCCTGTTTTTTGCAGGTAATGCCAGTAATCACAATTTCTGAGAAATCCACAAAATCTTGATTTCAGTAGGCCAGTGCATGCATATAGTACCACATGTGCTGGCCAGGCTGCTTAGTCATACTTATGCTTAAGGCTGTTTATTGTATTGCATTTGCAACGTTAGATAGAAGTCACAGCAAAAAACACTAAACACAGATGCATAGAGGGGTTATGCTGACATAATTTATTTTGCTTCTTTTAAGCAGTCTAAATTTAGTAGGAAAAGAGCACTTTCCTCTTAAAGTGAAGGATTTCTTGACAGAAAGACCTCTTCTAGTGTAGGCTTGGCTTTGGTAACTCGTTTTAGAGAGTGCAGATGGTCTTCATTGGTTTCAAGTTCAATTTCTGCCTGCAACTTAAGATTTTGTATGCATCTCCCTCCCTTCTATCCTGTAGAGCTTTTTTACATCTTGAGTTTTAACTGCCAACCTTTCTATTATTATTTATTACAAGTGAGGATCTGACGGTCAGGAAGCTTTCTAGCCAAATGTTTAGGTGGATGACAGCCTGTTTATTAATTCACAGCAGTATTTGATCCTATCTTTTAAAAAAAAAACAAAAAACTTTAACACCGCATGATCCATGTATATACAAATCCATTCTTATACTGCCTTCCAAAGAAAACGCATACAAGACTTTAACCTGCTACCTAAAAAAAGAAAAAAAAAAAAAAAAAAAAGAGAGAGAGAGAGGATATTTCTCCAATTAAATTATCATATGGAAGGTTTATCTGTGTGCCACTTCTCTATTAGACAGACCCCATTATTTCATTATATTCAGGACACACTTAGAAATTCAAATAGAATATTAATCTAAAATGAATTAGAAAAAACTAGGAAGCTTAAATAGCATGTCCTTTGGTTCATCCATTGTTATAAGAATGAACTATCACAATGCTCAGATTCTCTTCCCTTCCTTATTTTGAAGAAAAAGTACAATGCCCCTAATATTTTGGGCTACAAAACTGCGTGCACTGCTTGGAAGGTTTTTCTCGTTTGTTTTTCCTTTCTCGCATTCTGTCCTTTCTCCCCTCAGTTAAAGCACTAAGGTTTTAACAGTGCCAAACCTTACTTTAGCCTTTCCAAGTTTGGCTCTGCATTGCTGATGATCTGCTAACTCGGCTTGAATCACTTCTTCTATAATGGGCTAATCTTCCTATGGAGTTCAGAGGTTATTTTAAAAATAGAAACACATTTATCTGGCCAAATGGATCAATTAGCTAGCCTTTCTAACATTTTAGAAAGACTTTGCATTAGTAATGAGCAATTCTTTGTCTATTGATATCCACTGACCATTTTAATGCAGATCTAGCAATTCAGTCGCTATGGAGAGCCCAGAGATGATATTTCTTAAAAGAATGGTGCAAAAATAGTAGCTTTTATCTAACACAAAATAGTGATGTAAAGTCAGTAGCTATTTAAAAACGAAGTGATGGTAGCATATACATTTTTAAACTGTACAGCGCGTGTAGCAATTGCTTGTAGCTGACTTGCCTCCAACTAGCTAATGCTAAAAGGTTTGCCTTGAAGTTTGTTAGTGTGCAGTTACAATTTATACTGTAGAAGAGATTAGAGAAAGCTTAACAACAATTTCCCACCCTTAACCCCCTAAAATTTGGGTTTTCTGTAGGGAAGTGAAGAAAGCAGTTGCTAGGTCACCATACATGTTTTATTCATGTGTTCTTCTAAATCTTGTAGGCTGGTGGTTAAGCCAAGAATAGTATGCAACTCTCCTGAGTCTTGATTAGGTGCTGCTTCTAATAAAGCTTTTTCTATTTAGATTGTAAGCTTTTTGGAGAAGGGAATATCTTTCTTACTACATGTTTGTATTGTGTAGCAAAATGCAAGTCCTGCTCTTTGTTCAGATCTCTAGGGACTACCAAACCCCCTTGCACCCTCTTTTGTTTCTTTTTTCTCAATAAGTCTCCCTTGTCCTCCCCAGAAACATTTAGGAAAATTCATATGTTATTTGGTGCAGTGTAAAGATCTCAAAATGAACTCTATATCACTGTGGGGCTGAGGAATTGCCTTCTGGAACTGACTAATTCAAAACACCCAGCTGTGCTCATTTAAGCCAGATAAGTGGTTTTGAATACCTCAGCTTGATTGCAGTGGTGGTTGTTAGATACAGAAGATTCCTTGGGGTGTCCATCTCTGACCCATAATGTTTACAGGTATAGGTGTCATGTCCTCAGCAGCTGGGGTTATGAAACTAATCATGTTGGTAAGACTGTGAATTTTTACTCTTAAAGTTATAAATGCATCATCCCACTGACTGGCTCATACTTTCTTGTATATGGATATAGCCTGACTTTGGGGTCTTTACAGAGTTATACATCTTTTAAGTCAAGTTTAACAGGGTTTTCTGAGTTCTTAATGACCTCGCCACTCCAATGAATGCACTGTTTGTATTTCAGTTAATAAATCCAGGATATTTGGACAGAGAATTGTCAGTTTCATAATTATCAAGATTGTATTCTCTAATCATTATTTAGGATCCATTCTCTCCCTTGGTTCTTTTCTTCAAAGCACTGCTTTTTTAGAAGCTGATAGAGTGTACATGAATACTATGCTCCATCTACGGTTAGAGGTGGGTTTCTGCCCCAAAACTCCTTGGCCTGGATTTTGGTTTACTTGGGTTTTTATACATGGCGTCTCACCATTGAACATGCTGTACTTGGGCAAGTGATGCCTCTGTGTGAGAACTGGGTACTACATACTCTGTATTGGATATCTGAACCAAACGCTTGGTTCTATTTAACGCTTGCCTTCATAAAACAAAACACTCTCTAACATCTTCCTAAATCTGTCTCAGATATTAGCTGTCCCAAATCTCATTACAGTAACTGCCAGTGTTCTACCTAAATGCATTATAATTTAACCTCAGAATGTATCATGCCAGGGAGTAAGAATGAGAGCTTGTATGAAATTTGGCCTTTGTTCTCTTGCCAACATCATTGTCAAAAGAAGAGGGGAGAAGTGAATGGAATTATCCAACTGTGACTGCATTAGGTAAAAGCCAAAAAAACCAAACCAAACCAAACCAAAACCTCTGTTGATTTTGGCCTAGTGAAGGTTACAAGTGTGTCTTTCTGTCCATAAATTGACTTAAATGTGTACTCGAGAGGTACTTAACCCGATAAAGGCATACTGTTGTTTCCACCTTTAAGATAATGGAGCAAGTGAAAAATACCCTAACTTGTGGAAGATTGTCATTTGGCAGATAGACAAGGCCTGTCTTGGATAGACCTTGATTAATGAGTTTGGCACTGAGAAATCGCTTTCTCTTCAAAAAGAATAGTGGCTTTTGTTCTTCAGTTTTTAACAAACAGATATGGGTTGGACATCCTGCCCTTGACTGGTTAACACACATAAGGATTTTTACTTGTTTGACCAGATGCTTGTTGGTATCTGTATTCAATTTGTAGTTTGAGGTAGCTTTCTTGAAAAAGTTTAATGCTTAAGTAATGAGGCGCATGGATACACTTCATAAGTTGTTATACTTTAATCAGCCATTTATCCTAGTATAAATGTGTGGACTGACAATGCCAGATAAAGTGCCAAGAGACTCTGAATAGCTTTGGAAACGATTTGTGTGTGACACTGGAACATATGAAGTAAGAGCTGTTTATGGTTGGCTCCAGGTTAATTTACTTTCATCCAACACATCAGTTTAGTAACCTCAATACAAATAACTTACAACCTGTGTTTTTGAGATTGGGAAGTAGTGAATGTTTAGCCTGTAATGAGGTTTAATTAGTGCTGCCTAGAGCTCTGTTTGTTTGAAATATCCCCTTTACTACTTGCAAGCTTTCAAACAAGTAGTTTACCTCCTGGAAAAAAAATGGCAGTGGTAAACTTGCTTATTTCACATGATGAAATGAAACCATAGTTAAGTGTAGAGACTCAGTAGTAATAGTTATGCAGGAATTTGTGAATTTGTAATGGCTATGAATTAAGGAGAATTTAACACTAGTTTTGTCTCACAAAGCAGCTCTACTTCATACACAGAACAGGGAATTCTTTGTTTATTTCAGCAGCATCTGATGGTGTTTGAATATCAGTTGACCAGTTTTGCCATGCAGCAGAATACAAAAAAATCCCTTTAAACCTTCTAAAATAACTTTTTTAAAAGGTATTCCCTTTTTAGACAGCCAGTAGCTATTATAGGTAAAAAAAGGAATTTTAGCAAATTATGATAAAACATGGGACTATTAAATTCAAAACTCTCTTCAAATACTAGTTTAATCCAGTAACCAGATTAAAAATGGTATGTTATGTTTATTTTCCTTTCCTCACTTCTGAGTGAACTACAAGAAATCTGTTTTGTTTTATATTTAGTTCAGAGAGTACAATCTTTAATTTTCAAATTCAGTCTTTTTCGGTATGTCACGACTTGTGTCTTGTCACATGCTGCTTGGAAGAAGTACAGTCAGAATCTTTTTGATGCCTATTGGATGCTAGCCACTCACTCCCTAGCCCTCCAGTTCTCTTCCTCCTGCATCTAATAGCTGTATTGAACCTTTGGACCATTTATAGGATCAGTGAGAGGAAAAAGAACCTTGGTCATTCCCTGTTCACTCTTTCTTTCAGCATCTACTCTCTGTCTCTGTGAGACACAGGAGCCTGGGCATGATGGACCTATGGTCTGATCCAGTAAATAGCTGTTCTTAGGTTCTTATGTAAAGTTGTGTAGCAGCTTTCTATGAAAGAGAGGCATCTTTCACATGTTTTGAAGTTGGTTGTTGTGGATTTTTTGTTTTATGATGAAATATTATGAGGTTGTTCTGTAGCCGAACCCGTTTTACTGAAAGCTTTATTTCCAACACAGATGCGTTATCCCAGGAGTATATCTTTTGGCAGGTCATGAATAGAAGTGTAGCTGAGTCACTAATCACTTACAGATTTGAAGATAAGAACCAGGGTCTTGAAGAGGATTGGGAATTTACAGAGGAATTGAGGTCCAGGGCTTATGGCAGCCTATTCTTATATGCATAAACTGGAGTCTCTGCATCACACCCACATACAGTTTCAGTGTATAGGAAATTGTAGTAATCCAGAGATTACTGGAGATGGCAAACGCTGTGATTGCTGTGGCCAGATTCTTCTAAGAAGGGACAGAGTTTTCTAGCTGTTAGGAAGTGGAAAAAGGGATTCTTCTTATTGATTTTTGCATATAATTTAAGATAAAGTATGAATTGAACTAGATGCTTGGCCAGTAGTGGAGCCAGAATGCTGAAAGGGAAGTTGGGAGGAGAGGGGGCATAGAGGAACAGGACATGATGGTGGTGAGCTCACTGTCTGGCCAGTGAGTTTGCTGTGCATCCAAGACCAGAACACTCAAGGGTGAAAGGGGTGGGGTGCAATTTAGGGATGTAAATATCATTTAAAAAAATTACCTGCTTAATCTCCTGTAATTATATGTCCTTCAGGTGGGAGCCCCTCTGGAGTGCTGTGGAGGAGGCAGGGTGTGCCTGGCTCTATGCAGCCCTCTCCTATGGCACCCGATGGCAGCCCTGCTGCTACGCTCACTCCTATTTAAGCCGTTTTGGCTCCACCATGCAGCTTTGCCTGACTCTGCTCCTCCAGATAACAGCTAGTTACCTCCCTGCCACAGCATCTGCATAATGTTGCAGCCCAGATCCACATAACCTCCTGGGCATCCCCTGCTGGAGCCACTTGCCCAATAGTGGGCAGCATGGAGATTCAAGGTAAATGGTAGATGTTAAACAGTATAACTATCATTAATTTTTAACTGTTTAACCTTTTACATCCCTACTGCAACTACACCAATGCACCCTGTCTGGATCCACCCCTGTGCTTGGCCTTTTGTACCACTTGAATGTGGAAATGCCATAATCATCAGGATAGTAAGTCCTTTTTAGGAGATAATAAAATCAATCTCCTAATTCTAGTGCGTGTAATATAGAAGATAATAAGGAAGTGGTAACTTCTGCCCTAGCTGATTGCTGGTCCCTACAAACTTGAAACGATATCAGAAGATGCAATAGTTTTCTGCAGCTCTTGAAGATGGTGGCATTGTTAGGATTGAGTTAGGAATAGATTCTTGCCATGTGCTCTAGTACAGAAAACTGTTTTTAGTCGTTTTGAAATTAGAGGTGCCTGATTGTAGTAGACTCGTTTGCCATACATCTGGTATGGCAGCAATATTTCTGAATCTACTGACTTGCCATTAGTCTTTGACTAGTCTGCAAAATAAGTATGTTTCCCTCCTTCCTGCTATGAGTTGCAGTTAATAGTCATTTGATTAATGAGTTCTTGCTGTGGAATGGCAATGCGAAACGTATACAAATAGTATATTCACCAGGGTATAAAAACTTACTGCATTCTTCTATCTGCATAGGTTTGTTAGACAGTAGAGTCCGGAAGCGCAAAGTCTGAGTGTTTCAGAAATTAATTCTTAGATAACTTGAAATGAGGACTAAGACTTGCTTAATAAATTGTATCTTGGCAATGATTCTTTGACTAATGCCATTTTTTAAAATAGAATAAAACGAGCCAGATTAATAACAGTAGTAGCTCCAGCTATTTGATATATTAACCAAAACTTATAAATGGAACCCCAAATATGCACAGTTCCAATTTGGAAGGAATGGACTGCCTGAAGAAGCCCAACCTTAATCATCCTCACAGTTAAAAGGTTCTTCCTGATATCCACCCTAAACCTCATCTTGAAGTCCTTTCTTGGCCTGACTTTTGGATTGACAATCCAAGGGTACCAGGAATAGGAGTGAGGTTGTTTTATGTTCTTTAATATGGAGACTGTGTATGTTCCCTCTGCCAACAGAAATCAAATTTCAAATGGTTTAGATATGGAGAGGCTCTTCATTTCACTACCTTACCCCCAGTTTTGGTGTGTTCAAATGGCTTTCTGTAACCCCTACCTTCTCTTAATTCAGGCTGTAGTGGACTGCTCTCTTGCACTTCTGATCGGGTAATCTCACAATGGAAAATACATTGGTTAATTGTGTGACAGAATATTAGTGAATGGTGACTTCCAATTAACTGACTTTTCAATTAGATAATTGGGGCTTTTAACAAAATATAACTTTTATTGAGGAGGAAAAGCCCTGGCCAAATGCTGAAACTTCTGTTCAGTTGTCATGTTTGCTTCTCACAGGACTTGAAGTTCATTTGCATCCAATCCTGCTTTCTTATTCAAGGATGTCAAACTTGCCCGGGGCTGGGTCTGTAGGGCCAGTATGCCTGCCTCCCCCTGCCCCCCCCCCCCCTTTTTTTTTCCCCCCGCCACTAGCCATGTCCATCAAGGCCTAGGGGCCTTGAACTCTGTAGCAAGCCATGGCCTTAGGTCTGCACCCAACTTCTGATGGGTTGGGTCTGGCTGGTAGGCCACATTTGACACCCTGCTCTGGCTCATTTGGGAAGATCCTGTACGTATTGCTATGATGCTATATAGTGAATGGCTCCTATGGTGTCCATCACTGCTTCTCAAAGAATAGGAACCCAGTCTACAAGAAGAGTAGGAGTACAGTTCTTTTGAGGCACATGTTGGTATTTCTGAAGTGAAACAGCTTAGCTTTCAGCTACAATATTTATTTTTTATATTTTTATTTCAAACATCTTTGTAAAAAAATGGTAAGTAGTTGGAGACTGAGTAGTTGTATGTTAAAAGCCAGATCCTATTCCATGTATGGGGCACTTTCAGTGGTCTTTAGGCACCTATGTGTAGTTCTGGTCCCTGAAAATCCATATTTCATTACCAAAGTAGATATACCATGTGTCCCTTGAGTTCCAAAATAGCAATGAGGAGGACGACCCATCCACCTTTTCATTAATAGTTTTTCAGAGGCTTGATCAGGGTGAAATGGGATTGTACTTAATAGGTGGAACAGAATCTGACCCTAAGAATGTTACGTTCTTCAACCCCTTGTTGCAGTCCTTTTTCTGCCTTTGCTCATCTAATTTCCTATTGCCTTTTTTCCCAATAAGTGGTCAGCTTTCCTCATGAGTGGCTGCTTTCCTTTCCAGTTCAGAAGTGGCTAAGATTCTTTTTTGCCTTGTATCACCTGTTTTTATGGGCCTTTAAGTACCTCTTTGTAATAAGAAATTGGACACATGTAGAAGCAATTGAGAAGAAGAGCAAATGCTGTCTAGCTTTCTAAGGGTTATAGCAAGTATTATAGAGAACAGAATTTGGAAACCATTGTCTTGTAGGATCAATTCTTTAAACTATCTGTATAGGTTACAAACTTCACTAGACTAGTATCTGTGCCAAAGGTGAGAGAGCTGTTTCTCTTACCTATAATCCTATTTTAAAAATAAAGAAACTTCAATACATTAGCAAAAGGAAATTCTTTTTAACACTAAGTTTAGAAGCAACATTGTCAACTGATGCCACAATTTTATTGAGACATGCTTTAAATAATGTGTGGTGGAACAGGAGGAAATGAAACTTCAGTTATGGCTTGTTTAGAAAATATAAACAGACTTAAGGACCTGGCTTTTATAGTCAGTGTTCACTGACCTAAGAAAATACAGAGTTTTCTATTTCTACTTTACACACACAACTTCACAGTAGAAGGGGTTTCAAAATACTTGTCTGTCACTTGGCTCTCAGACTTCTTATTAGTGTTAGGCTGTAGTAAATAAAGAAAGTAATCAGAATCGCACATGTAAGAACATGTGACATCAAGTAGTGTACAGCCTTTTCTTTCCTCTCTTTCACACTGTCACATTCACTTATCAGTAGCACGATGGGTTAGCTTACACTGCACAGAGGGTGTTGTATAACCAAATGAGGAATTACCATTATTCTTGAAACACGAGTAATACTGATTCACTTTTTCCCTATCACTTATCTGTGATCTAAGAAATAGCTATGAAATACTCATCTCCCTCTCCTCTGCCACCAAAATTGTGAGTTTTGTCAGGAAAGGCAAATTCTCCCCAAACTGCTAGAATTCAGACTTTGAATACTAGAAGTGGACCGATATATTGGTTGCATATCAGATAGGCACCGATGAAAGGAAAATTAACATTATTGGCCATTGGCACTTTTTGGCCAGTATAGCTGATTAATGTCGCCAATTAAACGCTGTGTGCATGTGCACAGCTGCAGCATGCACAAGGCCAAGAATGCAGCTGGGCAGCTTGCAGAGGGGCATCCTGCTGGGAAGTCTGGGGGAGGTGGGGGGAGAAGGGGTGTGGATGAGGGAAGAGAGATGGGGGTGGGGAGGCAGATTGAGGCCCCCATGGTGAGGGAGGGAGTGGGGCTGGGGCAGGGGCAGGTGCTGCCCAGCCAGGGTGGGGAATGCAACCCTGGGGTGGGGCATGGGACGGAGCTGTGGGCGGCTTGTCTGGGAGGGCGTGGCATCTCCCCGTTGCTGTGTGCACCCCTAGGGGAGGCATGGGGGACATGTGCATTTGTGTGTGGAGCAAGGGCGGGCTTCCTGCTGCAGACTTGGGGCCAGAGGCTGCACCAGCCTTTTCCTGGTGAGGGGGCTGGGCTGGGGGTCTACTTGGGCGGGTGGGGGCAGGGCAGGCTCCGGGCAGGCTCAGCTGCGCAGGGTGGGCAGCAGCAAGGCAGGGGGTTACGGGGAGTTTCGGGATGGGTATAGCCCCCCTAGTGCTATCTCTGCTCTGGGCACTCCCAAGGGAAAGGCAGCTGAGCAGACTGCTCTGAGCAGGGGCAGCAGTACGGAGGGGCTTGGGTGGCTGTAGCCACCCCACAATTCCCTGTAGCCTCCCCGT